GCCGCGCGCGCAGGTTGTTCCGTGTCGGCCGCGTGCGGTGACGACCGACTGCGGGTCAAGGCGGTGTGCTGAGGTCACGGTCAGGAGGCCCGGAGAAAGCGCTCGGCCCGGTGCGGTGGAGGTTTTTCCGTTGGGCGGCTGAGACGGTGGGAATTGTGTCCGTTGGCTCCGATGGACGTGTGACTCGGGGATGAATGGTGCTTCTCCATTGTCCGGCGCCTCTGCTGGGCAGGCTAGGCTCAGCAGGCTGGTCTAGGCTCGCCTAGTGACAGACACCAAACGCGGAAGGAAGTCATAATATAACCGAAAGAAATTAAAATTGCACGCCGAAATGTTTTACCGCTAACATGACAGTCTATATCTGACGCAACACTATCAAGATTGTATGACGGAATACCGTCGCCTGCACCGTGCTCTGAATTTTCCCACGCGTGTGCACGGGGCATTTGTCCTCCCCTGACCTTCCCCACAGTGTTCTGGCTACCTGTCGGAGCCCAGTGGCCGGTCGGTCCCGCCCTTCGGTCTCGGTCCGTTCACCTGTCCGGCCTGCCGGCGATGGACCCTGTGCGCCGGCCGCGGGAGGCGCCGGTCTATCAGATGGGAGTGGCCGGCCGGCGGGGCCAGTGCCGCCGCTGCCGCCCGGACCCGTCTGCCTGTCCGCCGCCGCCGCCGCCGCCGGTAGGGAGCGGGCAGGTGAGCGCAGCAGATGGCGGCGGCGGCGGCGGCGGCGCCTGGACCGGGACCGTCTGAATGGCCGCACCGAGCTACCATTGACGCGCCGGCGGCCGGCCAGGGAGCGGCACATACCTGCCGCCCGGCGCCTCCCATGCCGCCGCCACGCGCTCGTCCGCCGCGCCGCCGGCACACGTGGGCCGGAGTGGCGTGCCGTGGCGCGGGGCGGCGTGTGGTGGCGCGGGCGGCCGAGCGTGGACGGCGCCGCGGCCCGCGGGGATGGACGCACCTACCGTACCGTGGCGTAGCGTGGTGCGCTGTCAGGAGGGAGGGAGGGAGGCGCCAGAGGCGCGGTGGAAGCTGATGCAATAGGGAGGGCGGGCAGCCACGCGAATTGGGGAAGGGGGGAGTGTATGAGCGGTTAACACCCGTACCTGATAATCTGATTACATGATTTGTGAATTTGGCTGGGCAGGTTCTGCTGATAAGCCCGTTATCATTTATTACCGGGTACACTAAGCTGGGGACTCCTCGGTGTTACATCAACTTCTGCCAGCCTTGGTCCCGTGGCTGTTGCTATTTCGTGAGATGACCATTGACCAGGGTCCGTGGCACATTGCTTCAAAGCTCCGCTATCAGCTCGCAGCTCGCTTTATCTCTACACTGGCGTCGGTCAGCCGTCAGTCCGGCTCTGAAACGCGCTGGCCTGAGCGCTGCGGCCACGCGGCAGCGGTGCGCCGCGGCGGCCGGCGTACCGGCTTCACGGGTGGCTGGTGATGAACCGGACCAGCGCGGCCCGCCGGGGTCTCCGCTCCCGAGAGAGACCGGCTCTCCCGTCTGTCCGTCCGTCGTCCGTCGGTCGTTCGTTCGTTCGCTCGTTCCTTCTGTCTGACTGTGTGGTCCCGCCAGTGTGTCCGCTCGTCTGTCCGCCTGGCATAACGGGTCCATCCGTACGTCTGTCCGTCTTTCCGTCCGTCTGTCTGGCTGGCTGGCTGGCTGCACGGATCCGTCCATCTAGCTGCCTAGCTGCACGGACTCTTCCGTCCGCCCTTCTGCATGTCCGCCTTCCCCTCTGGTTGCCCATCTCTTCCTTCCATCTTGTGTCTTTCCTCGTTCCGGCTCTGTCTGTTCCGTGACCTACCAGCACAGCGGCGGCTGGTTTGTCTCATGGCAGAGGACGTCCGACGCCCATCAGGGAATGTAGCGGTGTGAGACCGGACATAACGCCGCCAAGCCGCCGCAGTGTCCCCGCTGTCCCCAGATGCACTGGCGTCTCTGACTTGGAGGTGATGGATCGGATGTCCCCCGATCGGCCTGTCCTGGGTGGGCACTGGGCAGTGGGCACCGTCTAATTACGGGGAGGGGCGCGTAGTACCCGGGGAGCCCCCCGGAGAGCGGGCGTTTTTAGCGGTCTCCAGACGTGCCACGATGCGGCGTCTGGAAGTAATTTGCGGACAGCGCCGTCACGCGTGACCACCGGCTGTGGCGCCGACCCAAAGGGTGGTCCTGCGCCGGACGAGGCGCAGGATCACGTGATGGGTGCGTGTGCGTGCGCTGCGCCGGGCCCTGGCCGCTGCCCGGTCCTGTCCTGTCACATGGTTGGGGTGCGGTCGGTTCCTTCCGCTCCGGCTAGAGTCCACGTCGGTCTCAGTTCTATCAGGCTAAACTGTGCTAAATTCCGATATGGCCTTATGCGATATGGAGCCATCTTCAGGCGTATCTTATCCTGCAATCAAAGTCATGCGGCCGACTGAATTCAAGACTCAGGTGCTATCTCAATTGAGTAATGAATGGGCGCGGTTGGGATCTACCTATCGGAATTTATAGACCGAATCCGGTCTGAGTAGATGACGTCAATTGCGCGCAACACGTCATGCCGACATTTACCCACCGTGTGTCCGAAAGGCGTGTCATTCTATTGACACCGACAGGCGAGCTGTCAACTGCAGGAGTGTAGATATAGCGCCCTGGATATAGCCTGGCAACAGTGTCTGGGTATAGCCGTCATTGAAGGGGGCGGGCGGCGCTTCAACTCCATCTGCGAACGGTCTTCTCGCGGGAGTCCCGACCGACCACTTGACATAGTTACCACCCGGCTGCTGTGGTGGCTATTGCCTGGCGACTTCCCGGCTGCAGTGATGATTACCCGAGTTACCCAGACTGGTGGTTACCGCCCAGTCCCTAGAATAGCTCCAGTGCCGGAATCACCAGAGCCCCGGAACTGGTGTCAAGTGACGCTCCAGGCTGTAATAAAGCAACAGAGCTATTTTCACCTCGGGTCAATGACTTTTTGTGTGCATGTCTGCGATCGATGTCTAGAAACTGCAATGTTTGTCGCGATGCATGATCGTTAGATGGGCCCATTCCATGCGTAGTGATGGTTGAATATTGAACAGAAATTCGCTGTCGGTCTCATTCCCGCTCGGCTGTCGTGCAGCGTGCTCGAAATTTATTTGCACGGTGTGCGGTACTGTGCGCCGGACCGTAACTGCAGTTATTGGATTGTTCCCCTGCACTGTTTGACAAGCGCGGGGGAGTGCTGGTCCGATAGGCCGCTGGTTGCCGTTACGATCAGCCTTGGTCGGTATTTGCACGGTCCGTCGATCGGCCTTAGGTCCGATGAAAGGCAGACGGCGATTTTGTCAGATCAGCCTCAGTGGGTCTTTTGGGGAAAGTGCTGTGAATGTCGAAGAGAAGGTCCCCTGTATGCGATTCTGAGGCTAGAACGCGTCGTATAACATGTTAGAGATGCATCAAAATTGTGCTTATCAAGTTTATAAACCGGTATTTCATTTCATCTTAGGTATTGATATATCGTCTCCAAAAGTTACAACGAACCGGAAGTGTGACTCGGAAGGCAGAGTACGGGACAAGACACAAAGATCACATCTGTCGGAAGTTGGCTCATTAAAAAGTCCAGTGCGGCACTGCTGACTGCCAGAACCGCCCCCCCCCCCCCCCGGCGCGGAGGGCCGGTCGGCGGCGGATGGAGGCGGCTCGCCCAGGCCATGTTCCGGTGCGGCTGCTGTGTGAACCTGACCGGTCGGGCGGCTGCCGCCGGAATGTCGCGGGACGGACGGACGCGGCACGTGTGGGAACTAGCCGATCGAACGGGCCCGGGCCGGAGCCGGCGTCAGACGCTGCAGACAGGACGGAGACGGACCGCGACGGAGGAGTGACATTGCAAAGAGGGACGTGAGAATGTGGAAATATGTGATAGATTGTCCAGTGTCCTGCGGTTTAAGCTCCACAAATTAACACAAATTAACACTGGTAAGTATAGCTCTAACATGAAGATATGTGTGGCTGTATCGCAGTTTCATCCATGAACATGCTTCCATGTGGTGGCTAGTGAGACGTGTCTCAGATCACTCGCACCTGCACAGCTCCGTCCACGACATGCTAAACTAGGCGAGACAAGTGCCATCCCTCCCTTCTGATGAACCTGTCCCTACCTCACAGGCCTTAATTGATTCGGCGCTAATCCGCCTAGGGAAAGGGAGAGTTGGGACGGTATCCCGCTGGGTTGGCGCTGCTGGCAGCATTCCTTTGGACGTCGGGGACTCGGCAAAGGCGCCGCCGTCTGTCGCGCGGCCACGCCTCCGCTGGCGCCGTACGGGATTTGGACGCGGGGGTCTATGGGGATGATTTACGAGCTGAATGAGTGGGGTAGGCTGGATGCCTATCACGTGATGGTGAATGCCAGTTGACGCGCAGGTCACGGCTATGTCTGGACTGGTAGAGTACAAGTGCATCGTCATCGCACATCGTGTATCGTGTGCAATCATGACACCGGTCCCGGTCTCTGGCGTTGGTAGGCCCTCGTCAGTGTCTGAGGAAGGATTTCTCGATTGAAGCTGATGGTGGTTTGATGCTCATTAGGATGGTCCTCAGTGATCCGGCGATCGTTAGGGCGGGTCCTCGTTTGAGAATTGTCATTAGCGGTGGCCAGATGGGGATATTAGCGTACTGCCGCGATTTTACGGTCCCGTACCGTCTGCGGTTCCTTTCCTGGTCGGTCGTGGCGTCCCCTTGACACATGTGGCGTCCCGACCCGACCTGGCCCGGCCAGGTCCCGACCCGGCCGGGTCCCAGGACTGAGGAGGGAGCTCAGCGGCCATTTTTTGGGACCACCTGGGGTGAGGGTCCCCCTAACCCAGTCTGTGATTGGCTGGTCTGAGGTGTCGGGCGGGGCCACGGACTCGCTGTGTGCGCGTCGCGTCATGTTCAGTGCCGACCCGGCGTCGGTCACCTGAGGTCATCCTCGCACCGATTGGCATCAGCCGCCATGGCCGACTGGGCTCACCAGGCATCGCTCTTCTTCGCAGTGGACGGCAACGCGGCCGCCTACCAGCAGCAGCAGCAGCACCAACAGCAACAGCAGCAGCAACAGCAGCAGATGAGGTCGCAGGCGGGCGGCATGCCGTACGGCGGCCGCGGCTCGGGCGGCGGCCGCGCCCCACAGCCCGCCTTTAGCGGTATGGCCGTGCCGCCGCCGGGAGGGCCTCACTACATGCCCGCCGGCCAGCCGGCCTCTCAGGTGAGATCACACGACGCCCCGGGGCGTGGACTGGAGAGGAGAGGAGAGGAGTGGATAGGGGGACGGCGGTCACTGATGGGGACTGAGATGAGGGGAGCGGGGTCAGATGCTACCGCTGCACTGGGTGGGACTTGAGACTTGGGAGGGATGCTAGGGCACTTGGAGGAACTCTGGACTGGAGAGATGCTACCGATCCTGGCTGAGATACAGTGGGACTGGGTGGAGAGTGGAGACCTGGGACAGATGCTGGGTGACTGTCATGACTGGAGGGATTCTGTGGGACCGGATCGGATACATGATGGGGCTTGGAGGGCTGCTACGGGACTCTGGAGGACGGACCGTACCTATATGCATGCTGTCGCTACTCGGCGAACACGGGGTACTATCTCCTTGGGTCAGGGGTATGTCAGATAGAAGTGTGATGTAGCGCTACTGCTGGACATAGGCTGGGGAGGAATAGACATACGGTATAGTGATTACCACGAGTTGTATTAGCATAGAATCGTATCAGACTTTCTGCAGGTAAAACGGTAGTTCCATTATAGATTTAAAACGTGCTGTCGTTTGATGCTCTGTGGTCGTTTGTTCCAGTTTGAATGAGCTCTAAATTGGTCTTCTTTTCTTTCTTTTCAGCCGGGCTTCTACGTTGTGAACATGCCACAGGTAAGCCATAATTTAAGGCCTGCTTATGATGTCCATGTCGACCCCTTTTTCAAATACCTCATGTATTTTGTCTCAGTATTTTTTCATGTCCTTTGTACAGTGATAATCGATGGCTGTTAGGGGATGGTGATGGCTGACCCGGGGCTGGAGACGGGGAGGAGGGGAGGGGGGAATACCTCGACTCGGACGGTACATAGGTGGCAGCACTTGTCAGCAGTTACCACCGTCCGATGGCACGCCGTGGCCAGTGGCCACTGAGAAGCTGCGGTTTCCTGCCGGCTCTCTTATTTTACTTTTTCTCTCAGCTCTCATATCCCTTTCATTTTAGGAAGAATGTTTCTGAATAGGTGTATATTTTTTGTTTTCCAATGAACGGTATTCAACAGCATCTCTGAATGGTGTAAGGTCTTTATCTTTGGACGTAATCGCTTTTGTAACGACTTGTTCCTTTATTTATGTAGGTCTCTGGAGAGCAATGTCGTGTTTTCAATATGTTAATACTGAAATTTATTGGCGAAAGGAAAATATGGTTTTATTTGCCATTAGCGGTTCAATTTTAACCTTCGAATTGCATGTTTAGAAGAGTTCTACGTTACGGTTGCCGAAGTAAATTTTTATTAAAGTATGATAGCCTATTCTGTCGTATATTTCTGAATAGGGTCAGTATTCGCGAACAGGCCTGAGGCAGTCCCCGTTCACCCGAACAGACGGCTCGGTCGCGCCGGCCGTGTCGGTCCGTCCCGCTGTCGGGCGGCCGACCACTTTCGTTGTCCAGTTTTTGCGACCGTGCCGTGCTGCGGCGCGGGGCGCCTGCCGTGGGCTGTGGGTGACGAGGAGCGGGACAGGCACTGAGACAGGCACGCGTCCGTCCACTGCATCGGCTCTTAGCCTGGACGCCTCTGGGTCTCTGTCTGTTCCGAAGGGAGAGGAGGATGATATGACTTCGTTGATATTGCAAAGCTTGTGGTGTCCGACCTTTTATGCCGGTGGTTATTGGGTGTCAGTCCCAGTACCCTGTTTGTTGTTTTCATGGAGTTCAAAGCGCAAGCATTTTTTTGCTAAGTTTTCTGCCCATGCGAAGAAAACGACAACATTTCGGTTTCGTAATGCTTCATGCCTTCATGTGTCAGCATTGACACGTCGCGTGCAGAGGTATGTTGACACCTCTATGCTCTAGGACGACCCCCGGGATGCGCCGATCCCCTCAGCCCCTCCCCCCCCCCAAATCCCTCTGTCCGGCGCCGGGCCGGGTCTGTGAGTCCCCCCCCCCCCCCCTCCCCCGGTCCTCGCGAGTCCTCGCGGCGGCCGTCGCCCACGTGTCGTCGGCCGGCGCTCAGCTGGTGCCGGCCAGCGAAAACCGGCCGCGGCGCACCGGCTCTGGCTTTGGCCTATGGGCACACTGGGATTTTCTCTGTGTCTAGCGATATCTGGGGAAATTAACCCCTAATATCGCAATGACTTGTGTCTTTCTCCATCCGACTATCTGTCGAGTGTCGAATCTTAGGTGGGATTGTGGAAGGAATGAGAAACATCTGTTAGTATGGACGAAATGAGAAGTGGGTGTAAGATGGGCTGTTTTTATAACATATGATCACATACTTCATTTCACACAGATGGTCTTTAACCCGGTTTACATAGCATATTTGACAAGGCTCTAGCTCGTTAATTTGGCGATAATTTCGTTGCAGTGGTCTTCAAATATTTAGAGGGGATCATTTTGTAAATTGTTAAGCACCATTGGCATCTTTTGCAACATCACGGACGGAGATATAAGCTTGCAACAAACCCTATGTAAACGCGTCTGTGACATCTGCATGAAAGATCCTTCTACGTCTGTCTTCTCTCTGTTCCGTTGATCTTCTTTCTTCTCTGTCAGAGCTATATTTGTAAATTTAGGCGCTTGCGCTCATTTCAATCATTTTTTACGAGAAGAATTGTAACAAGAGGAAGGTAATGAGCTCCTTATCTGAATGGCTTGCTCCTGTCTCACGTTGAATCGCACTGAGTCTGATTCATAGAGAGGCGAGGCGAAGCGATCTGGAATAGGAACGTACTCTGTACTCTGGAGTTAGGTCTAAAGATGCATTATGGCAAAGATTTAATAATGACAGGCGCAATGAGCCAAGTTTGATCGAATCGTGCTACGACTCGAGCTCTCGTGGGGGGGGGGGGAGGGGGAGGAGGGGAGAGCACAGTCCACGCAAGAAGATTGTTCGATGCTGGTCAGTGGTCAATCATACGGGCGACTTTGACGAGCCGAATAGGATAATTTGCTGAGTTGTTTATCCTACGGCAGCGGTTTGCAGCGGACACATTTGTTGTCATCTCGGGTACCGAATCGTTGGTATTTCTGATTGACGGACGTCTGACGGGACGATTACAGTATTATAGGGGATCCGACCGTGATGCATGCTTATAGCTGAAAAATCGTGATGCTCCTTCCCACTGCTGGAATCGTGATTCGTCACTCGGCTTCAATCCCCTTTGATCGGTCGGCAGCGGTGTCGAGGCGTAACTTCACCGTAGCTGTCGCACGAAATTCCCTAGACTGTCTGGCAACTGATCTGGCATCCCGGCGGTCAGGTATTGTGCTGCCCTCTACGGAGGATTTCGGAACTAATTCGGCACAAATGTATTTGCTTCAAATTTGCCGTGGACTGCTCGATGCTGGCTGCTTTTATTTAAGTCTTATTAATTTATTTGGATGATTTTCATTTAATTCGATGTGATTTTCTTGGCTAAGCCGTCGAATTTCACCATCGACATCATGGCGGTGAGGAACCAAAGCCGTAGCTCTGCGCGGATCGTGTCGAAATCCCTGCCCTGATTGGTCGAGTCCGGTTGTGACGACAGCACGTGGTTGCGGCAAACCCGGCTGGTGACCATATGCTCGGTGGAAGAGAAGTGTGGGAATCGTTTTGTGGAATATTTAGGGCTGAAAATGTACCAGCCCTACAATGAACAGAATCCATACGATGTGATGATGGCCGGAATGGTAGGTGTGAACATAATTGTACTTGTTTTCAGTGCGTGAACTCCTGTCAACCTTTCGTCGGCCTTGGCCCACTGCTGCTGTGTGTGAAAACCATAAGGTTATTTGGTTTGAAAATGTTTGTGGTCCATAGAAGTGATAACTTATCGTGATTTTTTGTTAAAATGTCATGCCCATTTCTCTTTCAGCAGGCTGTCATGCAGGGACCAGGGAGCTTCAGCATGCCAGTACCAATGCCTATGCAGTACCCTGGAGGATACATGCCGCAGCGCCCACATGGTATGTTGAAGCTGATTATCATAGTTGAACACACTGACCATTCTTATGTGTATTAAATTATTTGTAACCTTATAATGGTGTTGATATACCAATATGAATGCTAATGAAAATGTATCCGTTTCTTCTTTGGTCATGTAGGTATTCCTTTTTGTCCTTAGAGTTTGATTGTAAAAGAAAGAATAAAATTTCCAAAAACTGCTCTTTAAAACCAGAGATTTCTTGTTTAACTTGGTCAATTTGTGACAAATATGGAAGAGAGATCTCAGTAGGCGGAACTATGGTCAAGCGTACCCATTTTCGGGAACGCATTTTCGTTCCCATGTTTGGGAACGATAAACCCAAATATGGGAACGCCATGTAGGCATTATTTAAAACAAGAAAAAGAACCGTTAAATGACGTCCCAAAAATATAAAACGATCGTGAACCACCTGATATTTGTCTCAATGTTGTTGCGAGAGTTTGCTATTGTAAGGCCCATCGTAGTTTCAAATCGTTCCCCTATTTCTAAAGCAGTCCATCATCCGGGCCGCGAGCCCAAATTTGGGAACGCTCTCGTACACTGGCGCTGCAAGCGTTCCTTATTATGGGAACGGCGAACCCAAAATTGGGAACGATTTCACCGACGCCTTTCAGGGGCTCTTTTCATTAACAAGCATCACGTCCAACGCCGCAAATTATTGTTAACGCAACAATCATCAGATGACCTTTCCGGCAAGACCGTCGCATGTTTCGCCCGGTCTTCTGCGCTTTTATTCCCGTCGATCTCGCAGCGGGCACGCCCCCCCCCCCCCCTCTGCAGGATTACGTAATTCACAACGCTCAGCGATGTTCAACAAGGTCTTCCATACCTATATCCACCGTCCGCGCCGAGGGTGGAGACATGTCAAGCACCTGTCTGTTTATCACCGATAGTTGACGAGCACAAGGAAGTATCCAAAAATGGGAACGCTGAATATGTTACACCCTCAAAACACCTAGTCCCAATGAAAATCTAGTTTTTTCCTTTCTTGATGAGTGTAAGTGGCAAAAGGCCTGGTAGGATGGGAACGAGGAATGATCGAAATCAGCATAAAAATTATAAATAAGCCACACAGAGCGACCTATATAAGAGAATTCCCCCAAAACGATCACGCTTAGAAACACGGAAGACAAAAACCACGCTCATGACGCTCCTTATAAAACAACTCTAAACAGCTAGCATCCAAATAACATGTGTCTATCTGGGATGATATAATACAGCTGAATAATTTTAAACCACTGCAACTGAGTTTACAACAGTAGTTCGGTAAAATCACTGACGTTCCATGCGGTCGTGCGCCCCGACACCAAATGTCACCAATATTACCCCCGGACTGTCCGCGTGTTCGCTTGCATATGTCAGCATCTGGTGTCGCTAGTATGAAACTTCATAACCAGGCGAAAATTATTATTGACCTCAAAATGTAAAAAAACGCTTCATTTTCCTTAAAATTGCAAGTTAAATGTAGTATAACCCATGTTTTCACCATTCCGTCATTTAAAAAATCATTAAAAATATCATTCGACGGTCAATTTCCTTGTGCAACGGCCAGATTAAAGATAATTTTATAGAGACTTAGTAGATACTTAAATTAGCGTGCACTTTTTTGAGACGTGATGCACTTATGAGTTTTAGTGGGCGAACGGCCGAAAAATTACCTTCCGTTCCCATAAATGGGAACGCCCGTTCCCATATTTGGGAACTCCGTTCCCAAAAATGGGAACGTTCCTATATTTGGGTACTCATGACCATAGTTCCGCCTACTGATCTAGGAAATTCCAATTTTGCTCCAGTCCCAAATTGTTGGCCACTCTGTGTACACTGTACACCATACATTCAGAGCGGTTTTTATAATTTACTCACCGTTTGGACAGAAGCCGTTGCAGAATTAGAAGTTGTAGCCTGTAGGTTCTTAAATGGGCTTTAAGAGGAATTGCTTCTGACCTAAATCTTGTAAGGTTACGACTGAAGTCCAGGATTGCTGTATAGTGGTCGATATCGACTGCTTTTTTTAGCAAAGTTGAAAATCTAGATGCCACTGTTTTGTAGCTGCTGCTTTCAACCAATGAATGCTATGGATGTGCAGTTTTGCACTTTGCAGTCAGTATCTTGTCTCAATCGCCAGCTATTGTAATCAACAGCTGCAGTTTCGGCTGCAATCAGCTGCAATCAAATAAGTATTCTGTTTTCTCATAAGCATCAGTTGCTTTAAGTCCCTTCAAGAAATTAATCCTCTATTTCAAGCTGCTCATTTGAACTTTGAAGGAAAAAACTTTTTTATGTCACTTAATAAAATATTGGATTTTGTAGTACCTATTCCATGTTGCTTCATCATAGGTTATTCTTTCATCTCCATTGCACACCTCCCTTCAGATATTGTCATATATGTGATGTAGTTTTCAATAGCAATGTCATGCATGAAAATTATTATTTAAAAAAAAAACTAGTCATACTGCTGTTTGTTGCATAATCATTGCCAGTTCACTGCACATTTTTTTTTACTTGATTATCTTATCAGACTTTTGAATAATTGAAGGATGATTAGATGGCATTGTGCAAGCTCTCTTAATATGTCAACGATTTTGAAGCAAGACAGATAGGTGATATCCTTAACATTTTCTTGCATTGTGTTGATTGTCTGCTTCATTTCTATTTATGTTCAGCATAATTGTAATTTTGTCATGTTGCTGTGCAGTTACAAGCCCTTGGTGGAGATGATATAAAAATTTAAATTGTTTGTTGAAAAATATATTATCCAAAGTCATGGACCTGTGGCTATAGCTAATTTATAGACCCACGTTTTGCTGGTTCTGAGCAAGGTGACAGGTGAACTGTAAAACGTTTCGACGTTTCTATAAGTTGTTAATGCGTCCAGTGTTGCCTCGGTTCTGGACGTACCCCTGAGCGGTGTGCTGTGCGCGGGGTCTTGACCGCCGCCTCCCCGCACGCAGGGCCGGCGCCGTACGCGCAGCAGATGTGGGCCCAGCAGCAGCCCGGGCCGGGCCAGATGTATATGCCGCAGCAGCAGCAGCACGCCCAGCGACCGATGGCGGCCATGCCGCCGGCGGCGCCGGCGCCCCAGCAACCCGCCCAGCAGTCGCGCGTCAGTAAACGGATAGCCATCATCAACCCCAATACTGGCGAGGAGGTGTCGACGGCGCCCCGCGAGCAGGGCTCCTCGGCCGCTGCCGGCGACAAGCAGACCGAACAGAACGCCGCACCGGTACGTCGAGGACGCTGGTGAATCTGATATTGGAAAGTGGCTCAGAGTGGTTTGGATAAGTGCTGTTGAAGCTAACAAGTGGTTCCAAAAGCTTGGGCTTATGGCATAGTTGTGGGTTATCATACTTCAGTCCATCAGTCTTTGGTGTTCTTTCAATGTATGATTGTATGGACTTCTTGCGTGGCTTTTAACGCTCCCTCTGTGTGCCGGCAGGGCTCGCGCCAGGTGGCTGCTGATTTCGCCAAGATGGTGGCGCAGGCTGCCACCTCGTCCCGGTCGCGGACCACATCCGAGGCTGCCGAGCCGCCGCCGGCCGCGCCGGCACCTCCGGCCGAGCAGCTGAACGGCTCAGTCAGCACACCTCCCGGCGCCGGGCCGCCGCCGCCCACACCGGCCGAGACGCCGCCCGAGAAACCTCCGGCGGCCGCCCCCGCCCCCGCCCCGGCAGCAGCACCGGCAGCGGCGCCGGCGCCGGCACCTGCGGCAGCCGCCCCGGCCCCCGCCGCCGCTCCCGCCGCCGCCCAGCCGGCAGCGCCCGCCGAGGAAGAAGGTGAGTCCACCGGAACAAGGTGGTGGTGGGAAGGAGGAAGATTGAGGGATTTTTAGAGGGTTGATAGGCTCTGGGAAGAAGAGCAAAAGGGCTTTACATGTTGAAGGATAAGTAAGAGATGAGTAAGGGATGCTGGTGGCTGGATTTGCGAGTGTGTCAGATGTTTGTCTGAACATGATGTAGATTTGGCTTCTGACTGCTCCACGCTATCAGTGTTTGCCAAATCTCGGCTAACAAGCAGTTAGTTTTCCACTAGGGTTACCCGCGTGCTCCGCAACGCGAAGAAGGGTTATTTGTGACCCGTGGGTATTGGGTTGGTCTGTGTCGATTTGGTTGGTATCCATTTCGTTCGAATGCTTTTTGACTGCCAAAACAAAAAAGATACATCGCATTGAGGTGCCCGTGTCGTATTATCATGCGTTCTACTTTAGAATGATTCGAAAACTGGCGTGAAGTCTTTTGAGGGCCATCGATGAATTTCGCTAAAAATGACAATGTAATGGTTTGGAACATTTACATTTTTAAGGATACTGTTGCTAATCATGCAAAAATGAAGAGTGAATATTGGACAGAATTGAATGCTCTATCCAATGGTACCATATTCAATTGCCAAAGGTATCAGGTTATGCAGCAAACCCCGTGTGATTAATAAAGTGGCACAAAATTGACAAACACCATTTTCTCCTGTGATTTGCACCACCTCGATTTGGATCAATCAGCTTTTCACAATTTTTATATGAGAGGCGGTACCTTTCTCTTGCAAATAGGCGTTGATTCAACTCGCTCCATTTAACGGTCACCTAAAAATAAAATTAATTCCAAAATCCCTCAAAAACCGCAATTTTTCAAATAAAAGTGCCCTCTCCGGTGCACGTGGCGCGTGCTATCCTCTGCATTGCACACCATTCAATAGCCCGTTCAATTCTGTACACGATGCTGTTTTCCCCGTGCCGGTCGGACCCCTGGTCACCAAGATATTGCACGGGAACTGGACCCGTGTCGGCCAAAATTAGCCGTTTTCGCCCGATTTCGCACGCCGATTTATACATGTAAAGTCTATGACGCGAATTTGCACTTTTTGAGCACGCGCCACGCGCTCCCTATCAATCCGATCGAGCTGAGACCCCTCAAAGGCACGTCGCGCATCCTTGATCTATGAGTTGTGCAAATTTCATCGGGCTAGGTGCAACGGTCTGGCCTGTAGTCCACGCAAAGCACCACCAAGTCGGGACCTCGGTAACGGACAGACGCACCCTCCTCAAATAGTAATATAGATCTCCCAGCCTTATGTACATACGACGTCTGGCGGGTGGACAATGCTCCAGCAGCAGTCAATGGCGGCTATTTGAGCGTGGCGATATGGTTTATTTTTGGCCGTCGGTCGTCCGAACTGACTGCTATGATTTATAGTGACCTCTATCTACCGCTGAGAGTGCGCGATCGAGTCTGGGGCAGCTCGTCTGAAGATAATTTCTGATAAAGATGTCAAATTGTTCTGTCCGCGAGTGTCGGCGAGGGTTCGCGCTAGTAGCGGCTTAAAAAGGAGAGCTGAATTACAGCAATGTTGGCGCTCGTAGCGCCCAATTAAATGATCGATCATATCCATAAAGTGTGCCGGCCTTTTAGCGTACCATAAAAATAGTGTTGACGAAGTGGAACTCGATAGATCCAAATTATTGAACGACTTAAGGTGGCTAACACATTGTTGCGTAGACGAGAACGCTCACTGTTTACCTGAACCACGAGGCTATCCGCTGCTTAAATAAGGCCCTGAGCGCCTGAACGATTGGTTTTAAAACGGAAGCCTTGTTCGGTAATTGCGTTGTGCAGTTTCAGTGACCTGCATAAGTGTTGCATCATATGATGCAATAATGACTTGAAAAAAAACAGCATGGTAAATGTCCACCGCGCTCGGCCGTTCCTTACTACGCTGTGGTCTTGCGGACAGCAGTTAACGCGACACAGACCCTGCTGAACATCTGTCAGACCTTGTTCTCTGTGCAAAACCACAGAAAAAGTGTTTACAAAACTGTACAAAACTCTGTTTCGTCGGCTTCCTGCTGTGATCCCTTTGAGTGGTTTGGTGGCCCGCTGTTACCGGCTACTCAGGGGTGCTTTGCACTGCTCGAAGTACCAAGTGTCGCCGGCTGAAGCGTTTCAGCTCAGACGGTAGGCCTGGCCGCCGTGCCAGCTGTGTGGCATTTGTGCCGCGCGGGGCGGGGCGGGGCGGTATCGGCTGGGAGGGCAGACAGGCCCTGCCGCGCCGCCGCTCGGAACAGCTGCGTCACGGCCGGCGCCGTGCCCGTGCGTCACAGGCCCGGCCGCTGCACGGCTGGAGTCGATACCAAGTGGCGTGATTGGTGTCGTTGCTCAGCACGCTGACGGTAGTAGCACGAATATGATGCCGGGCTCCAGCTGCAACCCGCCGGTGCTCGATAGTGCTTGATGAGGTGACACGTTTCACCTGCAGACCGATCTGGTCTTTATACTTTTGCCCCATTGCAGAGAAGCTAATATTTAATTGCTCCGTTGGTAGATATCCAATATCCATTTCAAGGCATAGTAAGACTGCTTTCTCAGTTATAAGTGCCTCGGGATTGTTGAATGTTCCGAGACATGACCTTTCTGTCATAATTGCCGACTTCATTGTGCGTGACAACTGTTATTTGCGTGACAACTGTTATGTTAGATGGGAAACACCTGACACACGAGGATACGGACGTCGGCTCCGTCTGGGACGGCGCAGGTCCGCCGCGGCGCGCGTGTTTGCCGGGTGGTAACAGGTGCTGCGCCTCCCAGACCCCCAGTCTGGGTGCATCACGGCGACAAAAACTGCGCGCGATAGACCTGGGCGCGGCAGGCACCGATCTAAAATGACGCAGGTGGCCTTCATATGCATGAACCGTGTCTTCCTATCCACGAATGGCAGCAAAGTCCGTCGCGATCGCGTTTCGTGTCCGGGCTTTGCTCCGGGAGAAAGCCGCCGGTCATCCTCGTACCCTTGGAGCCGATAACGATCCCCAGAACTCGCGTGTCCTGTGTTGCAATCCGTTGCACGCCGCCGCCGAATGCGCGAAATCTGGTTAGGTGGACGGCTCCGGCGGCAATGTCGTGCAGCGGTCGATGCTTTTCCCTGCCGGAACCGCAGCCACGCGGTCTTTCTGGACCGGCGTGCGGTAAGTCATGGTCGCTAGCCGCTCCGGCCTTGGGGTCAGCTGATCGCGGCACCGTTCTGAAGTCGGCCTTTCCAGGCGCGGCACCGGAGGTGTGGGGTGTGATTCTGACAGGCTCACCAACCCCGTATTGCGGGGTAGGTCGGTGTGCGTGTTGGGGTGCGTCAGGCGGGCCGGCGGTGTTTGCTGGATACAGCGCCGCGCGCCGGGAGGAGACGTGCCGCAGCCGACCGGTTGGCCGTCCTCTTGGCGCGCTCGCAAGGTCGTCGCGCGTCGCAGGCTAGTCACGTGATCGTCGACTGCCTGTCGGCGCCCGGTGCTGCCACCACGCGGTCATGTCGTGAACTGCGGCCTCGCCGGCCGGCAGCGGTCACGTGATCGCTGGCCGGCTCGGTGCTGCCGCCTGGCGGCTGATGGGTGAATCAGGCCCGGCTGGGCAGCGGCAGGCCGGCCGACAGGCGGACGGGCCACAGTGGCTCGGCCAACATGGTGGTGATGGTGGTGGTGTGTGCGCGATGTGGCGGCCACTGAGCGAGCGACTGGGCACCTGCAGAGACCACCATGGAGAGGGCCGCGTCCGGCGGCGACCGGCCCAACGGCGTCGGCGGCTCCAGCCGCAGCCTCTCCCGGGAGCGGCAGCAGCGCGGCGGCGCGCAGAAGCGTAAGTGCCGCGCGCCCCGCCCACGCCCACCAGCCTGTCCTCCCGCCCGCCTCCCCGGCCCGCCCCGCCCCGCGCCGGGGATCCTATCTCGTCCCATCTCATCCTGCTGTGTCCGACCCCGACCTGCCCTGGCCGGTGGTGTCCCGACCGCTCCGGTCCCGTCCCGCGGCGTCACGGCCCGTTCATCGGCCTACGAGGCCGCATGAGACCTCGCCCAGAGCCCTGGAGACAGCACCCGTTCGACGTCGTTCTTCGCAGTGCCCTGCGCTGCCGTCGTTACCTACCGGCGAGGTCGGGGCGCGTGTCAATGGAGGTGTGAGCGGGGGCGGATCATGTACCGTATGGTGCGTGCTGTCGCTGGGTGCCGGCGACGGCGGCCTCTCACGGCCTTGGGGCCAGACGGTGGCGCTCGCGCGACCTGTTTTCGCAGACGGCACGATCGATAAACACGCGCCGCGGGTTGGTGGGTCTGACGGTCGGACGGACGGGTGGCCAGCCGGCCGGCGACCGGCGGGTGGCCCTCGCAGCGGCCCCGTGTGTGCAGTTGGCCGCGCCACACGGCACCGGCGCCGCTGCCAGAAATAGTTGGCCGCTGTGCCCATCGGCCGGCCTATTTTTACCGACGCCCAGACGCCGCCCGATTCCGGGTGGGGTGACCGGACCGGTCTGCTTTCTCGCGGCCTCGCCGACGCGGCAACCCGCGAGAGCTTTCTCCGGTGGCCATGTGTCCCGCCCCGCCCCCGCAGCTCGGCCCCACCCCCACCCCACCCCCGCAGCTCTCCAAAGCTGCTCGCAGCTCCAACCCACCCAGCTTCCCCCACCCCCGCAACTCCGACCCGCAGATGCGATACCACATCGGTCGATTCGTTCGACGAGGCCGAATTTGTTCAGACGCGCTTAAAATGGATGCAGGGCGTGGCCAAATGCTGACTGGCGTATTTCGTCGATCAGACGCTTGAATAACGTCTCGGAGAAAATGTGCGCGCTTCCCTCGCCATGCCAGTGCACTAGCGGTCAGCAGTGCCGGCGATCTGGTTCGGCGGCGGCCGGCCGTAATGGCCATCCCGTGAGTCTGGTCAGAGAGCTGGGGTTAGCCGGGGGGACTGGTCGGCAGGCCGAAGGTGCGGCAGATTTGGGGCCGACAGTCGGAAGGTATGCGGGCGGCCTCATCTGCGGTCGATGACGTACAGAGGATGGGTGCCGGCCGCCCACGACAGCGCCGACGTCACCGGCTGCGTCACGCCCGCCCCCGCCCCCGCCCCCGCCCAAACGTGCTCCCATATGGGGCCCAGGCCTGCCGCGCGGGGAGATAGCTCTCCTGCCTACTAGCGGTTATATTGCCTCGGAAGGTGTGGGAGGTAGTAGCTAAAGGTTATCTCGTTATGCGCCAAACTGCGCGGAAATGCTCTGTAAACAGCCTGGATGAACTGACTGCTAATGTGCTTCAGACGAGGTCGGATCGTTTTTACTGATTGGATGGTTTTTACTGAACGCCGTGTCGCTAGGGCCTCGAATTTTACTGGTAGGCGTGGAGTCTTCCGGCCTTGATTGGTTCATTGGCTCGTCTATGGACATTTTCCGAGCGGATGTGCCCGAGCCGGACCGACCGTTACGTAACCGCTCTCCTTTCTGGGAAGTGTTGGGCAGCTGTGCGAGTCCTGGCGGGGCCGATCGGTCCGAGGCCGTATTCCACAGGTCGGTGAGCGGCCGCCTGCTGGCTGGTGACGTGTTTGTTCGGATTTTGAGTGTTTTTGACAGTGTCGCCGGACTGGCACCGCCCTATTACGTAAGTGGACGCTTGGTGTGCGTCAGAGCTCGAGAGGGGCGACAAACAGTCGGCGTGGGCCGGCTGGGTAAAGCCAATGACTTGGCCTGGGTCTCCGGCGATAGTTCTGGAAATTTTGGTGGGCGCTATTTCTTTTGAATGTGTCCAACTGTGCCACCTGCTGCGAAATTTGCCAGAGTTCGTTTCGTTGTGTCGGCCACGTGTTGACGCCATTTGCTGCTCTGCCAGCTGGTTGTTGCGAGAAAATGGCGAAATGAAAGCTCACCGGGGCCGGCCCAAATGTCGATGTCAGTGGTGACGTGACCACCTCCGTTCAGTTGGCCCAGGCGCGCTCGTGACACGTGTGCTCGACAGCTGTCGGTCACCGCACCGCGGACCGACGGCCGTCAGTGCTGCCGTCGGTACCGGCCCGACGCGACCGCCCCAGACTGTCCCGTCTGTCCGTCCACCTGTTGGTCACGGGTCGTGGTATGTCCCGCTAGGTAGGCTAAATAGACAGGCTTGTGTAATTCATTCAATCTGTCGGACCTTCTGGTCTACTGGCGGGCTGGCCAGACCGCGCCGTGCCGGTCCATAGCTCGCCTTCTGTCCGGCCGCAGACGTCTCGTTTTTAGTGCTGCCGGGCCGGGACGCGGCGCCCTCCAGTGACTCATTGCTCCGGGCTCGGCTCCCAGCCGGTGCCGGCCAGTGTGGGCTCCGCCCGGCCGGCGGCGGAGCCACGCCTCCCTCCCTCGGCCCCGTGGTGTGCGAACGCCGCCGCCACTGCCCATTTACAGTCGGCTGGCGTGGCGGCCGACCGATCGGACTTGTTTGGCCGCCGCGTGGACCGTGCCGCCGCCGCCGCAGCTATCGCCTTGGAATGCAGCCGACTGGTCGGCCGGCGGGCGGCCGACCGCTGGAGCTTGACGTCCGTGTTCCATCGGAGGTGACGGCGCCATGTGGGCCAGCCGGGCTGCTGACCGGCCGATCCAGAATTAGTTCACGGCAGGGGTGACTGGGTGCGGGTGGGAGGAGGCTGTGCTTTCATGGGCCGTTGCTATCACCCACGTGGTGGCACTGTTTTATCTGCCGGTTTGCACCTCTGCACCGGCCGGCCGGGCGGTGGCCCGTCACGGCCGGGGTGTGATGGCCCGGACGCTGCTCTCCGGTGTCGGCGGGCGGTCGGCTGGTCCGTGTCACGCGCCGCTGATCGCCGCTGACCCGGCGCCGGTCTCGGTGTCGGCCTCTGGTCTCCGAGCGCCGGCTCGAGGGGCCCGCGTGCACCGATCGGCGGGCTGAGACCGGACCGGCGCGCCGCCCGCGCCGATACGGACATGCGCGCGGCGTGTGCGGGCCGGCGGTGTTTGCCGAGCTGACGCAATGTGGCGCCATCGGCGTGCGCTGTTTACGGGCTCGTCGCTGTCGGTCGCGGCGCCGGCCCTCCGCCGGCTGTCTCAGCGTCTGGCTGAGGGAGGGCGGAGGTGAGAATAAACTGTCTGGGCGGGTCGGGCGGCGCGCGTTTCCGCCCACGTGGCCGGCGAGAGCGGCGTAGAGGAGCCGCCCGGCGCCCGGCGCCCGCCTGGTGTCCGTGGTCAGGTCTGTCGGCGGCCCTGGGACCGGCCGGGCCAGCTCATGCATTGCACGCGTGCAGGGTGGGTGTGGGCCGACGAACCGGACCGACGGACCGGCAGACCGGTCGACTGGCCTCTGCAAGGTCACCTTGGGGCAGCTGCTTGAGTTCAGCATCGGACAGTGACGGCCGGCCGGCCGGTGCGACGTGCGTGTGCACGGAGAGAGGGCGGCGGGTGTTGGGGTGATGTATAGGGTGTGCTCTACCGCGAGGGTACGGTAGGGTGTCACCGACGGGCGCTGGGCTTGTGGTCTCGCTGGTCGGTGGTCAGTGAGTTTGCATCTCGGCCCGGTCTGGTCCGGCTCGTGTCTGTCTGTCTGGCGGTGTCTGGTGACAACCAGCGTGGTTGTATATCCACGCAGCAGCCGCGTCTGTCGCGAGCTCACGCAAGACTGCTCGTCGCTGCGCGGGCCGCGGCGGCGTCCCGCTGCGGGATAAACCTGCCCCGTGCCGCGAATCACTGCAGTCGGAAATGCCCGTCGCCGCTCCAGTCAGCTGACGGGGCGGCGCTGCAGTCAGCTGACTGCGGTCGGGCGGCACTGGCAACGTGGCCGGCCGAGTTTTTATGGCCGGATGGCGGGGCGGCAGCGGTATTTGGAGATTAGAATGGCGCTGGCCGCTACCGGCCGATTTACGGGGTGATGGGGTATGAGGATGTCACGCGCGGTGCTAACGGTAACCCTTCTCTGTTGCAGGCCGCTCCAGTTCACAGAAGAAGACTAAGGCTAAGCAGAAGATGCGCGAGCTCAGCCGACGGGCTGAGGGCAAGGAGGCGGGAGGGGATATGGACGCGTTCGTCGACTCGAAGCCGGCGCCCGAGCGACCGCCCGTGCCTCCGGCGGCCGCCCCCGCCCCCGCTCCGGCTGCGACGCCGGCAGCCGCAAAGCCTGCGGCAGCGGCGGCGGCGGCACCGGCCGCCTCCAAGCCGGCTCCGGCGGCGGCAGCGGCCCCTGCCTCCAAGCCGGCTGCGGCCACAAAGCAGAGTACCCCTGTGACGTCACCCGCTCAGCCGGCTGCGGCCCCGCCAGCCGCCAAACAGACCCCCGCGCCCGCGCCCGCCCAGAAAACCGCCCCCACTCCGGCTCCGGCGAAACAGACGCCCCCTGCGGCGGCGCCGGCCGCGAAACCCGCGCAGGACTCCGCTCCGGCTCCCAAACAGGCGGCAGCGGCGCCCGCCAAGCCCGAGACTGCGGCGCCCGCGGCCAAGCCCGCTGCGGAGCCGGCAAGCAAGCCCTCTCCTGCTGCGGCCCCTGCCCCGGCGGCGCCGGCGGCGGCAGCCCCCAAGAAGGTGGCTGAGCCGGCTGCCCCGGCTGCGAAGCCTGCCGCCGAGCCGACCCCGAAGCCGGCTCCGGCGGAGAAGGCCGCAGAGAAAGCCGCTGAGAAGCCGGCCGCCAAGCCCGCGACGCCGGCGCCGGCGAAGGCTCCGGCCGCCCCCGAGGCTCCGACCGCTACCCCGGCACCGAAGGCAGCGCCGGCGCCCGCGGAGGCCGCGCCGGCCGCGGCGCCTCCCGCTAAGGCGTCGACTCCCGCGCCGGAGCCGGCCGCTCCCGTCAAGGAGGCGACTCCTACCCCGGCTCCGGCTCCGGCACCGGCACCGGCACCGGCTCCTGCTGCGGCTCCTGCGCCGGCGGAGAGCAAGCCAACCCCGCCACCTGCCGCGGAGGCCAAACCGGCTGCTGCGGAGGTCAAGTCGGCCGCTGCGGAGGTCAAGCCTGCTGCGCCCGAGGCCAAGCCTGCCGCGCCGGCCAAGGAAGCGCCCAAGAAGGAGGAGCCTGTCGCCGAGAAGCCCGCCCCGGAGAAGCCAGCGGCGGCACCGGCCGCGGAGCCGGCTGCCCCGGCCGAGCCGGCGGAGAGCGCCGCCCCCGCTGCCGACGAGGATGAGCTGGAGGAGGGCGAGATTCGCGACGACGAGCCCGTGGTGAACGGCACTGACGCCAAGGAGGATGGCGAGGAGGAGAAGCCCAAGACGGCCTGGCAGCTGCAGCTCGAGAGGATGAAGGGTGAGTGAGGGGATGGAGGGCATGGGATAGCCGGGAGTGTTTTAGCTTCATTTGATGCGAATTTTCGCTGGCTGTTCAGTCGAGTTTGGTGGTTCAGATTATATTTCAGTGTTAACGATGTGCCTTCTCAATCAATGATCGGTCTTTCTTCTCGAGAGCCAACGACAGCCAGGCCATGCGATAAATCTGTGTAATGTGGCCTAACGGCAAGCAGTGGAACCGCATTTTAACAGAGGCCTCTGTCTGTCAATATGTGTCGACCATCGTCATTTGCAAGTCATGCACTCCGAATATGGTTGGCGTGCATTCCGCATGTCTAGCCCATAATTCCCAGTACCACGTGCCCACTGCCCACCCGTTACAAGCGACCCCAGTCTGCGCCTACATCTAGACTGACCTCGCCCTTCCGTTCTGCCCCGCAGAGGAATCTGTCCGTATCGCCGAGAGGCTGCAACAGAAGAAGCAGTACAACCGGGACGACTTGATGAAGCTGATGGCGCACCCGCTGTCGCAGAAGCGGCCCGACCAGCTACCCGACCTGCCGTCCATTGTGCGCACCACTAAGGACCGGTCGCAGGGCGATCCGGCGCGCAACTTTGCCGCCATCAAGTCGCGCAGCATGGGCCCCATGACTAACCCGATGGATTACAACGTCGGCTTCAAGCAGCTGCCCAGCAAGGTGATTACTAATGTCTGAGAGAATGGCTGAGAGTTTTCAGCCCAAATTGGGCCGCATGTTGCACTACGTATGACTTACATAAGGTTGCGCTAAGTGCCTTTTAACAGCTTCAATTCGGGTAAAAGTTCACAGGGGCTTGTTTAATGGGTTATTGAGAAGGGTTGTTGGCTTCAGGTTATTGAAAACCGACTGGCCTTATTTCTGGTGAATGGGGTCCATCTGAAAACCACGGGTGCTGTTGTACCGGATCACGTGCTCAGTGTGTGATATTGGCTGGGCAGTTCTCTGACGTCATTATAGTTCTATGGATGACAGTGGTGAGGGTCCGTTTGGTGTGTGCTCAGGGTACGTTTAGCGTACTCCTGTGCCCCTCACGGCCGACGGGTGCCGTACCCTACCACCCGGTTTGAACCGCCCGCTCCGTCCCGCAGGGTTACCGGGGCCGCGGCTCGCAGCAGGGACGGCGTGACATGCCGCCGCCGCAGCAGGGCGGGCCGCGCCAGATCTCCATCAGCCTCGGCCGAGACGTCAAGCTCAAGGAGTCAGAGAACGCTTGGAAGGCGTCCTACAAGGCGCCGGCCGGAGAGATGGATGATGATATGAAGGTCATCAAGGCCTTCAAGGGCATCCTCAACAAGATCACACCCAACAACATCGAGAGGTTGACGGGCGAGATCAAGAAGCTGGCGCTGGACACGGAGCACCGGCTGCACGAGATGATCCAGACGCTGTTCGATAAGGCGGTGGATGAGCCCATGTATGCCGATCAGTATGCCAGTATCTGCGTCGCCATGAGCAAGACTGAGGTGAGTGCGGGAAGGGGCAGGCTTCTAGGATTATTGATTAGAGTGGAGACGGTGCTCTAGTGCCATCATGTTCTGGGTTGTATGATCAGTTACCACCAGCACCACGGCTTAGTTTTTAGAGAGATGCTACTATTCGAGGACCGAGGTCATGCTAAAAATATTTCATTCAATACCGATTCTGTCGCCAATGAATCAGCATATTTCAGCATTGGTTTTCACCGCAAAATATGTGAAAACTCAGATTTATTTTGGGCGTCATCTGAATCCCTCTGGCCGTGTTCCCTTCCAATGTCCATGACATTCCTGAACCGTGTGTCATTCTTCCTCAGGTGACGGGCGCCGACGGCAACGTGGTAGTTTTCCGCAAACTGCTGCTCACCCAGTGCCAGCGCGAGTTCGAGAAGGACAAGACGTCCGAGCTGAACCGCGACGAGCGTCAGAAGGAGATCGACGCTGAACAGGATGAGGAGAAGCGCAAACGCATGACCTTCGAACTGCAACAGGAGAGCGTCAAAATCCGACGGCGCTCCAACGGAAACATTCGCTTCATCGGCGAGCTCTACAAGCTCAACATGCTCTCGGATCGCATCATGCACCAGTGTATCGTCAAGCTGGTCAAGGATAAGCACGAAGACTCGTATGAGTGCCTCTGCAAACTGATGACCACCATCGGAGAGAAGTTGGAGACGGCCGAGCGCAAGCGCGGCAAGGACCTCAGTCAGATGTTTGCCGACTTCAACCGACTGGCCACCGACAAGAGTCTGGCATCGCGCATCCGGTTCATGCTGCAGGATCTGATCGACATGCGCAACAACAACTGGGTGAACACGCGCACGGTCGGACAGGCCAAGCCGATGACGATCGAGGAGGTGCACAAGCAGGCGCGCCAGCAACAGGTCGAACAGCAGGCGATGCTCGCACAGGCCGAGGACCGACGGCGCAACGACCGCGGCACTGACCGGCGCCGCGGCGGCGGCGGCGGCGGAGGCCGGGACGGCGGCCGCGGCAGCCAGCCGGGCCCCACAGATGGCTGGAGCACAGTCAGCCGCAGCCGGTTCGACGCGTCTCGCATGCTGAACGCGATCGGCAGCGGCGCCAGCCAAATGGAGGCCGGCGCGCTCAAGATGGGCCCCGGCGGCGGCAGCTCGTGGTCGTTCGGCTCCAAGGTGGGCTCTGGCCGGCGCAGCGGGCCGGCGGCGCCCGCCCAGCCCGAGGTGCGCACCACGCCCAACATGTTCGGCATGCTGCAGGAGGACGGCGGCGGCAGTGTGGCGCCGACCGTCCGGCTGGGTCCCGGCGGCGGCGGCAGCGGCAGCGGCGGCCGGCTGGGCCCGACCCGCGGCTCCACCGGCCGCGACGCCCAGAAGCCGGCGCCGGCGGCCGGCGGTCCGCAGCTCAAGGGACCGGAGACGATGGACGACGAGAAGATGCAGGGCCTGGTCCGCCTCATCTGCGAGGAGTACATCGACTCGAAGGACTACAAGGTTAGTGTGCCGAGCCCCGGCAGGTCGAGCAGAGAGGCCCTTCTTTTCCCTGGGTATGGACATCATTCAAAGCGATTTGATTTGTAGCAATGCATTGTATTGGCCGCAAAAACCTACTTCTAGCCTATTGGTTTTCACTTCAGTGATATCAGCTACAGTAAAGAGTCTGCTTAGCTGCAGTCCTTTGCCATGAAGGCACCGTTAGAATATTGACTAACATGACATGTCCTCGTTTGAATGTTGATTGCATGACACCCTCTAGAATGCTGTCTTTTATTCGACGATGACTTTTATGCTGTTGTTCTTCCTGAGAATGGTTTGCAAATGAAAACCACAATGCAGCACGAACACGAATACCGAATTTTACCTCTATTCTTCTTATTCTGACTGTCCTGGTGATAGCAATAAATGTTGAGCAACTATCTTCACGTCGTTAGTGTATCAATATCACGCTCTGTACAGGACCTCCGCCACTTCCTCTGACCTCCCCTCTGCCGTCCACAGTCGAGCGTTCAGGATGTCGAGGAGAAGCTGCACGCGAACACTGTGGCGCGCTTCGTCGGCGAGTGCCTCAACAAATACGTGGACGCGCGCTCCACGGAGCAGCGCCACCTGATGGGCGAGCTGCACCGGAACATGCTCGAGAGCGGCCACCTGACGGCTGAGGCCTACCTGACCGGCGCCAAGGAGCTGCTCGAGGTGGCCAGCGACCTGGCCTGTGACATCCCGTCGCTGTGGGCCAACCTGGGCGAGCTGCTGGCGCCGCCGCTCACCGCCGGCCGAGGCGTGACGCTGGAGAAGCTGGCGGTGCCGGCCGCCACCATCGTGGCCGACCGCTACGGCGCCAAGTTCGTGACGGGCGTGCTGAAGCGGCTCAAGTCGCTGCATGGTGCCGACAAAGTGCGCTCCCTGGTACCGACCAACTTCGACTGGAAGCTCTACTTCGGCAGCGATGACCACGTCCAGCCGCTGATTAACGTGAGTGGCCGGCCTGGTCCAGGGCAGGGGAGAGCTCGGTATTTCGAGTGTATTTCTATTAGCGATTGGAGGATTATTTATCAACTTGAGTTAGAAATTCAAAAACTACTACCCTTATATATTTTATAGCCATGGATATGAATACAGTAACAAAGTTGAGTCTGATACATTATCTGATTCTGCCTTCTTTAAGCTGCAGTGACCAATATCAGTCCTGGCCGTTTCTACGCTGGCCTTTTCCGTAGTCCACATCGCTATCATGCCTGATCTGAAGCATCAGCCGTCCCCGCGCGTCCACTAGCTCACACTGACGCTCCCTCCCCGGCGACCGGCAGGCTCAGCTTGGCTTCCTGGTGGCGGGCGCCAATGTGCCCCTCTCGCTGGAGGAGGCGCCCACCAGCAAGGGCGTGCGCGGCCTGCTTCGTGTCGTCCAGGAGGAGTCGGACATTAAGGTCTGGGTGCTGAAGAACGTTAGCGAGGAGGATCGCGCTTCGACCGCCTTCATCAAGGATTTGGTCAGCGCTCTCTGCTTTGACTGTATTGTGATAGGTGAGTAATTGTGATCGCAAATTCGCGAAGGACGGGAAAACAGACAAGGTTTTAGACGGGGTATATTATGAGAGGAAGGAAGGCAATGGGTCGGCGGGAGGGTGAATGGGGCCGACATTTGGCCACGTGCCGGGCCTCCTGGTGCGATTGGGCGATTTGGAGCGTGGCCCGACGTCCCGCGGGATTGCATCAGACACTTTCCTCCCTCCCCTCCCCTCCCCTCCCCTCCCCTCCCCGGGTGGCCGAGCCATGGGGCCATTGTCCGTCTGTCCCCTCCTCCCTCCGTGCGAACCGGCCAATCAGGCTGAGTTTTATTTATATCCATCGCAACCTTGAGAGAAGTCATGCCAATAGGACGAGCTCGATTACTGAATGTCTCCATCTTGCAATTTTCCATTTAAGTCTACTTAAATACACAAGTGCACCGTGACCGACTTGAACCCTGATTTATAATTGATGGGGTCGTTTTAAAGCCATCCACTACTCTGCTCTCTGCGTTGGTGCTGTATGGCCCAGTGCTGCACATTAGGTCGAGTCATTCCACCTAACACATTCTCTCCGTCTGACCTCTGCGTGTCTCCCCGTGCCGGCAGATAACGGTGCCAAGCGGGTGCAGCTGAAGCGGCTCGAGGACCATGGCGCCCTGCTCAAGTGCCTGATTGTGAAGGAGGAGCTGGAGCTGGCCGCGCTGTACGGCGTGATGGCCCTGGTGCGGCATCTGCAATTTCCCCCGGGTGAGTCGATGGCGCTGCGGTCACATGTGCACAGCCCGGGTGGGCGGAATGGGCTGGAGTTGATGGGATGGTCGGCCATATGCGTTTCCAGAGTGCTGGATAACAATAGGGCCAGCCTGGTGGCCATTTTGAATGGAAACTTTAAGGCGCTTAGCAGCTGGTATACCATGGTAGAAAATGGGTTTGTTGCGGGGCTTAGTAACGCGTCTTATTTCTGTTTCTGCAGTCATATCATTTTTTTGTGCTTTGTAACCGTGTGCTTTTCTATCAATGAGCGTTTCCCACCTCACCGTTTTGTCAGCTCTCTGGCGCGTGGCCACATATTCTGACCGTGTCCCCTCTGCCACGTCTACAGGCATGCTGGACCAGTGTTTCCGTCAGCTGTACGACATGGAGGTGATTTCGGAGCAGACGTTCTGGCGCTGGCGCGACCAGAAGGACAGTGCCGAACAGGAGGGCATGGGTGTGGCGCTCACCGGACTAAAGGCGTTCTTCAAGGCGCTCGAGGATGACGCCGGCGATGACGAAGAGCGCACGTGATAGCCGGTGACACTTAGGATTAATTTCAGAGGCGCGCGAGCGCCGGGCTCGCCCCGGAGAGCGAGCCAACGGACGCCTGACAGTGACGCCATGTGTCTGGGAGATTGTGCAAGTGCGTGTGTGACCTGGAGTGAGAGGCGACGACGGCGGCTCGGCCGCAGAGGGAGACTAGCGCCGCCAGTGGCCCAACGGCGCGGCGACACCGCGTTAGTGATTTTGTATCGCGAATACGAAACGTGGTTCATTTTGCGATGGCTATGCGCATTATTTAATGAACATTGTAAATCTAATAATCTTGGCCTATTATCCTGTGTGTTGTGGATGCGATCCGCTGTGTCGGTTTTGTGCAGTTGTGTACATAGTTTGATGACGGCGGACGGGGCAGTGGGCAGGCGGCGGGGCGCCACACCGCCCTCGGTTCGGCGCGCTTTATATCATAAAGCAAATTATAATTTTATAAATAAAAAATAAAAACACATCGTTGGCGTTTCGTGGGTAAGAGGAAGGGCTGAAGGCTCTTTGGGTTCTAGAGCTTTTCTAGAGAAGATGGCCACTCTGCCTTCCGTCGTAGCAGCCAGTTTGCTCCGGAAGGCGGGTGCGGCGCCGGCGCTCACCACACGGGCCACCCGGACTACCAGTCTGCGGGTGCTGTCTATTGGGGGTGGGCCCTCGTTGGACGCGGAGGGAAGCTGCAGGACGTGAGCTGAGCTGGCCTATAGACCTCGCTGCTGATCTGACTGCGCGCTCCATATGCTGCGCGTGTTGTCGCTGGTGGTGCTTTCAATCCCGTGCGCTGTTTTATTCGCAGCTCTCGTCATTTTGGGTCTTATTCTCAACGCCAGTCGGCCATTTTCTTCGTATGTGAAAATGTGATTTATGAAGAGACGATCCGATTACACACTTAGCTGGCTGTATTGGTGCGTCTCAGCGCCTGGCCACGGGGTTTCTAACATGACAAATACTCGGGACACAGTGTGTCACCGGGCGGACCTGACACGGCTGACACAGTATGACGGCCAGGCCGACACAAACACGAATGGTTACAGCGCACCAGCCAATCTCACAGCGCTAGCAACAGGCGGCACGGGGGAGAGACTCCGCCGCGCCCCCAGCGGCGCCAGGCGCGACTCCCAGCTGAGTCAGTCGTGACTCCGAGTCAGAGTCCAGAACCACACCGCGCCGAGAGGAAGAGGCCCGCCCGCATTTGAACTTGACTCCACGCCGATTCATCCGGCCTCAACACACTCACACGACGCACACGCACACACAACCAGCCAACAAAACAAGCGCTTCGCACCACAGACCATCACACGAAGCGGCGCACTGCGAGAGACTACACACCTCGCGCGCCAGGAGCGAGGTGACGCAACGGACGGCGACCATCCCTCTCTCTCTCTCTCTCTCTCTCTCTCTCTCTCTCTCTCTCTCTCTCTCTCTCTCTCTCTCTCTCTCTCTCTCTCTCTCTCTCTCTCTCTCTCTCTCTCTCTCTCTCTCTCTCTCTCTCTCTCTCTCTCTCTCTCTCTCTCTCTCTCTCTCTCTCTCTCTCTCTCTCTCTCTCTCTCTCTCTCTCTCTCTCTCTCTCTCTCTCTCTCTCTCTCTCTCTCTCTCTCTCTCTCTCTCTCTCTCTCTCTCTCTCTCTCTCTCTCTCTCTCTCTCTCTCTCTCTCTCTCTCTCTCTCTCTCTCTCTCTCTCTCTCTCTCTCTCTCTCTCTCTCTCTCTCTCTCTCTCTCTCTCTCTCTCTCTCTCTCTCTCTCTCTCTCTCTCTCTCTCTCTCTCTCTCTCTCTCTCTCTCTCTCTCTCTCTCTCTCTCTCTCTCTCTCTCTCTCTCTCTCTCTCTCTCTCTCTCTCTCTCTCTCTCTCTCTCTCTCTCTCTCTCTCTCTCTCTCTCTCTCTCTCTCTCTCTCTCTCTCTCTCTCTCTCTCTCTCTCTCTCTCTCTCTCTCTCTCTCTCTCTCTCTCTCTCTCTCTCTCTCTCTCTCTCTCTCTCTCTCTCTCTCTCTCTCTCTCTCTCTCTCTCTCTCTCTCTCTCTCTCTCTCTCTCTCTCTCTCTCTCTCTCTCTCTCTCTCTCTCTCTCTCTCTCTCTCTCTCTCTCTCTCTCTCTCTCTCTCTCTCTCTCTCTCTCTCTCTCTCTCTCTCTCTCTCTCTCTCTCTCTCTCTCTCCTCCCTACTTCTTCCTGCCCGCCGATCCCGTTTCAGATA